AAAGCCGGCCGGCCGGGTCTATTTAAAAGTTTCATGTTATGAAAACCAAGTAATTAAATTTGTATGGCCTAAGATATACACTATTTCAAAGTCACATGTATAATATTTTTTTAATCTGACACGGGTTATAATAGTGCTTCTGCTATTTTTCTTTTTTCTTTTTTTATTCTGTCTTTTTTTTTTTTTAGGGTTTTTATGTAGTTTTTTTTGTAGTATTCACTTTGATATTTTCCCCTTTTGGTTTTAAACTTCCTTTTTTTTCTTTGATCTTGAAGTTTTTTTATTAAGTAGTTAGGAGGTTTTCTTTCTACTTGGGAAGTTAGAAAGAGAAGATTTAGGATTTAAAAAGAGAAAACAATCTTGATGGCCATAAATGCCACTCAGTGATATATTAGATTTTTTCATTAGTAGGAGAGTTTAGTATAGAGAGAAAATTTTACTATAGCAGATTGCACATGGGTAATTTGAACTTTTGTCATATAAGACTCTTGTTATAAAGAGCTGGGTGAGTTAATACTTGTCATTTAGGAGTAACATGTTTAGCCTAGTGTTAAAAATTAGTTTATGTATGAAATAGATATGTGAGTTTTATACCTAATAAAGTATTGGCAAGATAGCTGAATTTATAAAAAAAAATAAAAATAAAAATCAGAAGATAAAAATACACATATTCCAAAAGTTTCATATTAATCAGAGAACTTTATATTAAGATATTTTTGCATTTTATATTTTTAATATATAATGCAAAAACATCTTAGTAAACAGTTCTCCAATTTGTATAAAACTTTCAGGATATGTGTATTTTTACCTCCTGAACAATCTGTATTAAGTAACTTTTATTGATTTACTTAGTAGAATTTTGACTTTTATATATAGCAACTATTTAAGATTATAAAAAAATTATAGGGTAGCTTATTTTCAGGGTTAAGCTGTTTTTAAGATTTTTCTTCAAGAGAGGGGGGTAGCTTATTTTCAGAAACCTATAGTATCTCGGAAGTTTTCAAAAAGAGTAGTTGAAAATGATCTATATTTCTATCAAATAAAATAATGTTTCTAATAGTGTAGTTAAATAGACATAGGCCTATATCAATGCCTTGTATCTGAATGTGTATAACAATTAAAGCTTATACTTTCAGGCCTGCTTGAACAAAATTTATTTAAGCATTTTAGCATCCCTATATTACACAAAATGTATACACCTAATATTCAATCAAGGAAGCTTTTTGGCTAGATTCTTTTCCAAATATAAAATCATAAGTAATCTATCAATCTATTATTATATAATTATATATATATACTTTTTTTTTTTAATTTAATAACTAAGCAAACTTAATAACTACGCTACTTTTGTTTGTTATTAAGCAAAATGTTCAAGAATCTTTTTTCAAATGAGCAATGTTGCGATCGCACAAATCAGGCCATTTGCAATGGCAAATTTTTTCAGGATTGACAGTTCGGAGAGTCAAAGAAACTCTTTGACCTCGTTCTCTGACTCGTCCATCCTCTAATAGATCACTTTTTCTTGCCCTATATGTAATTTAAGTTAAAAAATTTTCAAATTAACTATGAATTTCAAGAAAAGTTAAAAAATTTCTAACCGTATGGCATGACTCCAAGCATATCGTGCCTCGTCTTTAAGTATCATTAAAGATCTTTCTTGTAAATCTATATTTACAACGACTCCTGTTTGAAGGTTCTTAAATTCCATAATTACAGGACTTTCAAGACTGAATGCTAAAACAATTGATCCAAATGAGGAATGACTATCTACATGAGGTGGGATTCCAGTGCCAATTGGATAATGCTGCACTGTTAATTGCTCAATATTCGATATTGAAGGGTATAATTTCTTTAGCTTTTCAAGAAGTGAATTTACATAAGGTGGAAATTGACGTGATGGTAAGCCAACTTCATTTGAATCATAATTAAATGAGTAACCAAAGTGTAACTATCATAATTAAATTATCAAAAATAGATTAAGGTAAAAAAAAATTATGTGAATATAGAATATGTAAAAATTATATTCTGAGTGGCGAAAATTACTAGGAAAGTATACTGTAAACTCATTAATTCATTAATGTACGCACTACACTACGATCTTGAACAGGGATCCAAGCGGTGTTTGAATATAAATCTTGTAATATACTTTTTTCTAACTCCACTGGTACGAACTCCTCCAACAAAATCAATCCAGGTATAGTCAATTCATTCGAGTCTTTAATTTGTTTCATGAAACTTTGACAAGTCAAATTCACATATTCAATAAAGAGAATTTTACCATTTAGAAGTTCGCATGGTTTATTGTGAAGAATCTCTCTAGCATATGAGGCAGAAACTGCGGAATTAAATAATGCAAACGAGTATGGCTGTGTTGAAAGCATAAATTTCTTAGTAATTAAATACACAAACAAGAAAGCAAGAATCAATGAAAAAGAGAATAACCTTTCCATGGGTTAATTTTATTCCGGTCAAGCCATCAAAGGTATTAAATACTTTTGATATTTCTTCTGTTGTAACACCTCCAACTCCACCGAAACAAAGATTGGTTATACATAAATATCGCGTAAGTTCTGGTGAAAACAATTGATCAAGCGACGCTCTTTCAAATTTTACAATAACTTCATAAGCTTGATACTTTTTTAATTCAAGCCTTCGAAGTTTGCGTGCTTCATTCCGTGTGAGCGATGTTGTATCGATTGTTGAAATACTTATAGGATAAGGCATGAATAATCTTTCGTGTGATTAAAGTTATTTTAAAACACAGTATAAAATTGTAGATTAAACTTGTTAGTTGCTGATCATTACCAAATTGTGGTTTAAAAATTGACATAATATCGATATATAAAAATTTTAGCATGGGGAACTTTCGAATCCGATATATTCCGGATCATCGTTACACAAGTATTTATATGGCGTAGTATTGTAAAATCACAAATTTA